CACGTGCGAGCGTGGGAATTGGAGACCGTTAGAGCTTCTACGCGTGACGAGGGATCGGCGCTTAATATAAAAGCTGGGAGATCAAAGATAAGATTTTAGAAACAGCTCGGGTCAAAGGCAGTTTGTTGTTGACAAGCCCGTGCGAAGTAAGGATTAAGGCTTTTGTTCGTGCTTTACCGTCATCAGTTAAAAGGAGAAAAAGAAATGCTTTTGTCTTTTTGCTGACAGAGGCGTACGCTCACGCGGCCTGGGCCTCTGGCTAAGGAGAGGGCGAGGAGAGTTTTCACTGTAGTTTATAAAGGAAGATAAAATAAAGGTCGGTGTGGATGTTTGAAGCTCTCTCGTGAACACGTGTTTGGAAAATGCGTAACAGTTCGAGGGAAGCGATTTTTTTGTCGGCGTTAGTCGTGGTGGATGCAAACATTACTACTCGCTCAGCTCTTCTTTGTGTTAACGGTAGGGTACATCGATAATGTTACTTTGCAGACCGTGTTTACAACGTAACGGCTCGAACTGTAACAGTTAAAAGCGTCCCACGTTGGGTGAGAGCGAACAGTTACTTGTTAGCCATAAATTTAGTACTGATTTAAGGTGGATCTGATCCGCTCCCCTGCTTCAGCTGTCAAGTACATTTTGACTTTTTATTTGCCACGTGCTATGTCTAATAACCATTTCTTGCATTTTCTTGCCGCTTGATAAGGTCGCGCCGCTGGAGAGACGCCGCTCATGTAATTCGCAGTACGGAGCGGCCATTTGAGTATTTAAAGAAAACAGTCATTAGACAAGGGGATCCGGAAGCTAAATCCCGCGTCAGAAAGCAGCCTTCCCAATCCTCCCTTTTAAAAGAAACAAAAGGCCGAGCCCCGATTCAGGCCCCTGCAGGCGAGGCTCGGAGCGTTTGTTACAATGCGGCAGAGGGGCATCAGCTGGATTCAATAGGGTTTCAGTTCTCTTTGTTATTTCTGTAAACGATCGATCGGGATGCAGGATTCAAATGCGTCTTAAGTTTGCCGAGGGCAGTAACTAAGGAGCAGCTGCAGGCTGTTGAGATACCTCGACGCAGTAAGAGGCCCTGCAATCACCAAGCACATCAAGTTTGAGAGCACGCAGCAGAACGCTCGCCTGGACCGGGCCAATGCCAGTTACACGCACAGAGGGACGCGAGGCCGGAGAGCTACTGCGCAGAAAGGAATCTAGGGGCCACAGCTCGGGGCAAGTTAAACTAAGGAGTAGCCTAACAAGCCGGCCCCAAAGCAGGTTTAGCACGCAAGGCACCACCAGCCAAGGGAAGGGACGTCTTTTTGCCGTGCTCAGTAGTACGGCCCTACCGGGAGCATCTTGTGTAGCTTCGGGCCCTGCGCCGTTAAGGACAAAAAATTAAAGCGCTCTGACAGCACCCGAGGAAGGGCTCAAGCTGCCTCACCGCAGGGACAGCGCCAAGCGTGCAGCCACTGCTTTTCCAGGTGACTAGCAAAAGAATGACAGCGAAGAGCATTTAGGTTAGACACGAGGAAAAATTTATTTTCAGAAACAGAAGCGAGGCATCAGAACTAGCAGCCCCAGAAGTCAGCACCGCACCTTGTTTCCCGATCGAGCAGCAACAGGTCAATAGTTGCATTAAATGATGCTTGAGAGGCTTCTCCATCCTTAATGATTGTACAAGACAAAGGTGGCGAGGGGTCCAGAGCGTAAGATTTTAAAGAAAAGCCACGCAGGTCCTGCAGTTCACCGAGCGCAGAGCAGAGGAGGCCGAGGGCAAACGCATTCAAGAGGCCTGCAGATGCTGTGCGTCCGCTTCGTCTGTGAACATAAGCTCCGCAATCAGGCGGTAAGATTCAAGGGAAAGGCGCAAAGCCGCATCCGGGAAAGGTCACCTAGGAGCTAATAGAGGGCAGCCTGAGACAGGAACAGGCACCCCAGGGCGGCAGTCCCGGGCCCACATCAGCAGAGTTTGAGAAGCACAACCGCCGCTCTCAGGCCCGGCCCTCGAGGTCAGGGCAGACACAGGCAGGGGTGGGAGTCCCAGGGATGCTTTCCAATTCTGTAAGCAGAGAAACATACATTGATTTGTAGATTTTTCTTTATGCACTTTTCCTCCCGTCAGTAATAGACATTGTAAACATCCTTCTGGAAAACAAGCCTCCATTCCAGGTACCGCAAAGAGCAACACACAATTCGTCTGCTAACATCTTGAAGGAGGGAGATAACCTGTTAACACGTGACTTTTTGCTTCAACAGAGTTGTTATTAGGAAAATAGTATTACCTGTACATGAATCAACTCCATTTTTCTATCCTCTTGCTTAAGAGCTAACGTCAAGCGAAACATTTTTGCCACGCGCTTCAGAGCTCGGGGTCAGTTTGGGACCACATTTCACAGACGCTAACTTACAGAGACTCCACAGGAAGGGTTTTACCGAGAAGCACCGGTGAGAAACCAACCTAAAACGAGCAAGGCGTAACCGCTTTTACCAGACAGTCGCCTCCGCTCCACCCTTAGGAAAGCACGCCTGCCATCGGCCCTCAAGCTGCTTCGCCCGACTCAGGAAACACATCTCTTCAGAAACGGAACATCAATACAAACACGGGTGACCTAGGCATTTCATCGGGTGAGTAAAGCAAGTCTGACATACGGTACATTCAGCGTAACTTGCAGTGACATTTATCGTAGATCTAGATCTCAGTTTTTAATCCTTACAGGGTGCGCACATGCCAGTCATAGAAGGTATTTTCCTCCTCTTTCCCATTCTCCAAGATAACTAACCTGACATCAACAGCGAGGAAATGAGGCCTAAGCACAGAAATAGCCATCAGTCTTCACCGGAGGTAAGCAAAGGTATACCAGCGTTCTTCATTTTTAAGGCACAGACAGGTATCCATTTTAGCACAAAAAACTTAAGGGTAGCCATTCCATTGTGGCACAAATGGCATTAGGCATCCCAGTACCATCTCTCAACGCAGAGTCCTGACACCCGCAACGGAGACGGCCTTTCCAAAAAGCCACAGCGAGCCAGTAATTTTATTCTATGAGAGACATCGCCCTCTTCCCACCCTGCGGGAGGAAACTTACCACTATTCTGTTAGCTTTCCACCGACGCGAGAAGAATTGTAACAGGAAATTCTCTTCCACCATTTCGCTATAGCAATAAGGTTAAGACATCTCTCTTAAAAAGGGAAATCTGCTTTTGCAGGCTTAGCCTTTAGGAAAGAAACTTCTCACATTTTCTGGCAGGCAATTCAATTCAGCTCACTTCTCAGGAGTCACACACATAAATACTGAGAATAACCATACCCACATAATACAGTTTTTAACATTTATAATGACACAATTGAGTTAGCCTCACTAGAGATCTCTCTCCAGCATTTTTACTTTTTACATGCTAGTTAGACCGATTATTTTTGCCACAGGCAGAGCCAGCCAAAAAAAGTTCAAGAACAGAGCAGCAACTTCTTCCTAACCATCTCAGTCTAATTAAGTTGTCAATACCATAAGCCACACAGAACATAAAGGACACTCACCATAGGTGCATTTCACCCCCAACCCTTTACTCAAACTTTTTCAAGAGGGTCATCACCCCAAGAGCGCATAGTCAGTAACTATACAGAGCGAGCAACCTCTTAAGTCGCAGAGCAAGAGACACCTCAAAAAGGTTTCACTTGACATTTCAGTTTAACTTACCTTTCTCCTCCCACAGAACCCAGCTCACCCCCACTTAATCTCATCCCCCCAGCCCCACAGCCACCACCAGGAAGGAGGCACTCAGGCACCAAGTGAGTAGACCAGGGAGGGGAGGGCGGGCGCCCCCCCTCCCCACCGGGGAGGGGGGGGAGAGGAGGGCGG